TGTATTGGGATGTACATGGTTGTATTCGGACTGTAAAGATAATTTGAGATTGATTATTTCATAAGATATTTCGTTATTATTTCTCACAGCAAATGCAGATCCTTTAGACTCAAAAAGAAGAGCAGCCACTTGGAAGAAAAATAGACGACAGCTGGTATGTGCTCCACTATATCACTACCTTAGTGTCTTAAAGTCTCCCCTTTGCCTTCTCTGTAGACCTCAGACCAAGAAAAAACGAAATCTCTGCAGAATGATATACTATAGTCTTTTTATGTTTATAAAAATCTTTTTTTATGTTTATAAAAATCTTTTTTTATGTTTATAAAAATCTTTTTTTCAGGCTTATTCAACAGTTGGTACACCAGACTACATTGCACCTGAGGTTTTCCTACAAGCAGGGTATACTAAGAGTTGTGATTTCTGGTCACTGGGTGTAATAATGTATGAAATGTTAATAGGTAAGTACCATTACCAGGTAATTTACAGGTCTACTACCATTTACCAGGTAATGTCAAATCATGAGAGCTAATGGTGACTTCTTATTTCTTCTATGCTAGGATATCCACCGTTTTGTTCTGAAAGTCCTCAAGGTAATTTGATTTAAAGTTCAGAACATTTAAAATCTTACTTTGTGAAATAGTTAACATCTTAGTAACCCACCCTGATCCAAGCAGGAGGTGGAGAGGGTATGCAGACAAGTATAGCTTTGGTGGATCCAGGAATGGTCCTTGGGGAGCGCACTTGAAAATACATAATTTTGAGATGATCCCCTAACGGTTCACATCCTGGAAAAAAACCTCCTGCTTCTGCCCCTGCTAAGACATTATTACTTTCCCGTATGTTGTGCCTCCTTTGTGATGGAAATTGCTATTTGTTTATTACAGAAACATATAAAAAGGTTATGAATTGGAGGGAGACGCTTGTGTTCCCACCAGAGATGCCCATCTCCAAGAACGCGCAGGACTGCATTCAACGGCTTTGTTGTGATGAGGATMATAGACTCAGTACAGTTGAGGAAATAAAAGCACATCCTTTCTTTAAAGGGGTAGATTGGATACATTTGAGGTATATATGATTGTATGATCACATATAATGATAGTGTTGATGATGATGATGATGATAATGGTGATGATGATAATGATGATGATGATAGTACAGTTGAGGAAATGAAAGCACATCCTTTCTTCAAAGGGTTAGATAGGATACATTTGAGGTATATATGATTGTATGATCACATATAATGATAGTGTTGATGATGATGATGATGATAATGGTGATGATGATGATGGTGATAGTACAGTTGAGGAAATGAAAGCACATCCTTTCTTCAAAGGGTTAGATAGGATA